GTGGCTGCTATGGCTGGGTGAGGCAGTCTCCAGGCCCCTGGTGACATGTGTGGGTGGTAGTGGTGGTGGTAGCAGGCTGGGTGGGCCTGTTCTCCGGCCTCCAAGAAGAGTGCACAGATGTCAGTGGTGGCAGATGAGGTGGGGTGATTCTCAGGTTTCAATGGTATGCTTGGGTGCTGGTGGCAGGTTTTGTGGGACTGGTATTATGGTGAACATGTGCACCTGAGGCGACTGATGGGTCAAATGTTCCAGATTTAAGCAACGTGATTGGAAGCAAAGAGCCTGCTATCTCCCTGCAACCAGATGTTCACCTTTCCCCGGCTTACCCCTACAGATCATTGTGTTGTATGTAAGGGATTTGGAAGGCCACAGAATAAGAGTCAGCTTAATAAGTAAAGAAGGGAAAGGGAGATTACAATCAAGGATCACTTTATTACTCTATCTGAAGTGATATAATTCTTCTGTGCTTGAGGAGTAGACAGTCCCATACATTAATTTACTTCATTGTCCTGTCTGTAGCATCATTAGTGAACTAAAATACACTAAAATAATACTACTGCTGTTAATGTTGAGAATTAACATTTACTGGGTCCTTAATATAAGTTAGGCAACAACCTAGAATAGAATAAAATGAACAGAATAGAAAAGGCCACTCAAGCTTCAAGTTACAGAAAATTTTTCTTATTCTAAACTTTGTGTTGGGTTCTTGAAGCACATTTTTACTATGCATATCTAGAAATGCACTTTTTGTTATTGCACCAAGCCTATGGAGTCAACAAATATAGAATACCTTTGCTATGGCCTGAATGTTTGTCCCCTCCAAAACTCATATTCAAATTTAATTGCCATTGTAACAATGTTAAGAGGTGAGGTCTTTCAGAGGTATTTAGGTCACAGGGTCTCACCTCCGTGGGTGGAATTGGTGCTGTTATAAAAGGGCACATTGGGCCTCTCTTGTGTCTCTCACTTTCTTGGTTTCCACCATGGGATGACACAGTAAGAAGGCCCTGGACAGATGGCAGAAACTTGGTATTGGACTTTTCAGCCTTCAGAATTGTGAACCAGTAAATTATGCTCATTATAAGTTACCCACTTTCAGGTATTCTGTTCTACCAGCACAAAATGGACTAAGATAACCTCCATAAAGACACCCCACCCTATATTTCGTGTATATTTATTCTACAATTCAGAGCAGCACTATATAGCTACAGCTACACAAAGCAAATATACTATGCATTTGAATATTTTATTCCTCCATAGACCCTTCTGCTGCTTCTTATTGGCATAATATTTCCCACCGAAGTTTTCATATCCTCAAGGTTAGGTGCTTCTAGAAAGTCAGGCATGATCAGTCATGATCAGTCCTTTCTGTGAGAACTCAGTCTATCAAGGTTCTCATCAGTGTGTATTAGTTGGCTTCGGTGTGCTTTACTAATCCTATTTTAGCTTATGTATTTGTTTTTTCAAACTCTTTTGACCTGAAGAATTAAGTTTAATCAGAAATCTGGCATTTATAATGATGCCCTTTGGGATATATTCAGTGAATACTTGATACTTACCATGTTGACAATGATATAGTTTGTTAAGTGATATAAGTGTCAAAGAGCTGGGAAAATATGAGTCTGACTGACTAGGATAGAACAAATGCAGACACTAATTTCAAGCTCACAGACACAGCTTAATTAATTTAAAAAATCTGGTCTGTAGTTTTAGCCAGTTTTAAGACGTATTCTTAGAAAAAATATCTTTTTTTGCCCCCTCAGTATATTTCCACTTTACCCAAAATTCCTTCAAGTATTAACTAACTAAATATAAAACATGAAAGTACCGTCTAGCGAGGGACACCAAGTAGGTGGTTTCTTGAGATTAGGGAAAAGATAAGCATGTCTTCTTAACATCTCATGATATTGAGTCAGCACTGGAGCCTTGGGTATTTCAGGGGATTTGGAGAAGCACTTCAGCAAGTAGCCATTGGCTCAGGAGACGGGTCTTCTTTCAGTGTGCTACTCTAGTATGTGGAGGAGAAGATCCAATGGAAGGAGAAAGAAACTCCATTACTCTTTCTTGTGGAATACTAGGGAGGATCAAAAGATCCTTTAATTCTGAGTTTAATCATCACTAATGATAGATTTGGCTGGGAAGCATTAAAGTAAATTCCCCCCAGCTTACAGGCTTCCGAGCCTAGCTCCTGATCTTACATAGCTCTTTGCCTGGAAGGTTGCCCAGTTGCTACCCTCACCTACAAGCCTTAGTTCCCCCTATGTCTCCCATAGCCCCTTTAATTGCCCTGTACAACCACTTCATCAGATCTTTAAAAGAGAATAAAATTAAATACTATGTATTTGATCATTGATTTAATAAAATGTGTGATTCATTATCCTTTAAAAAGTATTTGTTAACACATATGGTACTTCTAATAATGTGTGTAAATATTTAGTTATTTGATCTCAGGTAAGTTATGTCTTATTGTAACACCCTTGTAGTGAAAACATCAGATTCCATATGATTTTTAACTGACAACATTTTCCAGAAGTATTCCATAATTTTAGCACTGTCCATACTGTATACATTTACAGATTGTGAGAAAGCCAAATACACTTGTAAATCATAGCTTCAGAATGAAAATATTTAGGCATTTACATATCACTAACCTTCAAACAGTTTAATGTAGAAATTTATACATATGCTATGTAAGTAGGATATGAGAGACAGTTGAATTAGTACATAAAGTTTTTATTTAAAGTTTTCCCCTTCCAAGCAAGCTTCATTTACACATTCTAATACTGTACAAAATTTACATTCTCTGTGACTTATTTATTCACTTTTCACTTTCTAGTAACTTATGTCTTTCTGAAATACAGAAAGCTTTACTTATAGTTCTCATAAATGCTTTTATTTATTTTGGCGAGAAATAAAAAATAAAATTCAGAACAAGTCTAAGGAAAGCAAATGTTCTTGTATAAACTGTGACTTTTGGAAGAAACAGTGACAGTTGACAACAAAAGGTTCTGAAACAGACCTCGTTCTATTCATGATGTCAGCTGAGATTTTCCCACAGAGTACTGTAACTTTTCTTTCTATATACTCATATGTTTTCAAGGAAAAAGAAATGAAAGTTGATTGCACTGGATATACATATATTTATATATATATTTTTACAACGGATCCTTTGGATCTGAACATACAAATAAATACAAAAACAATGAAGATTGCACTTTACTGTAGAAACGGCATTGGATTCCAGTATACCCATTTATCTTGATGTGCTCTGCCATGAAAGCTTATCACCAAGGCATTTTTCATCTGTGGGATTTCCCTAATTATTGTTTTGAATGACACATTTGTTGAAGGATTCAACGCCATCTCTGGATGGTTAAAAAATATTTTAGGCTTTTATTTACTCCTAAAGTTGTTGTTCAAGCTCTGAAGGGCGTGAAAATCGAATGTGCATTCCTGTCAGTTTTGTCCTTTTGGTTGGCCACACTGAGACTATCTCATGCTATCCTGACCTTCTGCTCCTGAATTCCTCATGCTCCTCAAGACAACTAGCAATTGCTCGCTTAACTGAGTTCAAGCATCTCTGGTGATAACAAACAAAATATGATGAATTGGGGGAATAACGATCGTAAGTCAAGTGTCTAGAGCCACCCAAAGGTGAGGAAGAGGAGAAGTATTTTGTCAGGTGCTATAATTGGCTCCTGTGGCTCTTGTAAGTTCTGTGTTTTAGAAACAGAAAGACAACTGGAATTGTACTTAACAGAAATTATTCTTTCTTTTCATCCCTGAATTCCTGAAAACAATCTCTCATTTTTTTTTATTGTGGATTAAATTTGGGTCAGACATATCATATAACAGAATCTCTAAAATAGTACGTGACTGAATTTGTCAATCCTGTCTTTTGAAGTAAATAACATGTTAGGAAAAAGCACAACCTCCATGAACTGAATAGTGACATAATGTGTTTTGTTTTAATCTTTCAGATAAAATTGAGGATACAGAAATGATGACATTGTCTAGCTTAGAACCTAGGGTAGAAAGCATTTATTACAAGAGCCAACATGTTTCTCTTTTCTGATCCCATGAGGTGCTATAAGGGCAGAAGGTGTATGAAATGAAGTTGTATAGAAACGAAAATGCCTCTCTTTAATCTTATATGATTTTCAATAACAGTGTTGCCAATGGAGTCTGTGAAGTAGCCAGAGGTTAAGAATACAGAATCAAGTGGCAATTTCTGTAATGCAGTATATTTTGCTGGCTCAAATTTGGAATCATTCTTGAACACAATATCCCCGAAATGTCAACATAGATCACATGCAGGTAGACTACAATGCACAATACTGATCTCAGGTCTCTCTGGGGCCAGTCTTCTGTATTTTATCTTTCTCCTTTTGAAAGTTAAGATTCACATGAAGAGTTTTTGTAAAGCTGGGATAAGTGAAAACCAGTCTGAAATGGAAGAGTCTGTCACCACAGGAAGTTTGGTGCGATCTGGGTTACAGACACAGTATATGTTCAAGAACAGGTCTCTTCCTTTTGTAGTTACTTATAAATCATCAGAAACCAGGGGTGGGTTTTGGCAGTTGTACCATTAGAATGCATTGTTCCTATTATAATAGTGATGTCACGTGCCATCGCTTCCTAGAATGTGATACCGTTCATTCCAGAGTTTCCTGGTGTTATTTATTGTATGGCACACAAGAGGGCAGAATAACTGTCACACAGGCAGGGCCTGCCAACGGTTCTGCTACATCTCCTTCGAGTTCTGTCCAGGTTCCTTTCTCTGGACAATAGCATATTGTAGATGACTTGTAGGCCCCCTGTAATGACAGAGGAGGGAGCATTTAGAGAAGGAAGTCAGAGAAGTGCAGCAGCAATGTTACTGAGCACATTTATTAATATATTGAAAAGAAAATATCTGTTCTCCATTCTTGCTAAATAATTCCAAATGAAAGCAATGGATTTTAAACTGTTCTATTCCAAGGTAAAAGGTAAGATTGACAAAATTTAAAAAAAAATTGTGTGTGTGTGACTAACAGTAAAAGTCAAATAAATACCTAGAGGATCCTGGATGCTCAACAAATCCTAAATTGGCTGGGCCCAGTGGCTCATGCCTGTGATTACAGAGCTTTGGTAGGGAGGGCGAGAGGATCACTTGAGCCCAGGGGTTTGAGACCAGTCTGGGCAACATAGCAAGACCTCATCTCTGCATACACACCAAAAAAGATAAAAACAAATTGGGCCTGATAGTACACATCTGTAGTCCCAGCTGCTTGGGAGGCTAGGACAGGAGGATTGTGGTTACAGTGAGCTCTGATCATGCCACTGTACTCCAGCCTAGGCAACAGAGTAAGATCCTGGCTTAAATAAATAAATAGATAAATAAATAAATAAAAATAATATACTAAAAATAGAAGTTATCCAGCTGGTTTAAGTTTAAAAAAAAAAAAGAACAAATTTACTTTAAACATTCAAATAGTTAAGACAATGATATTTCAGATTGTTGTCTCACTTTTCCATTTTTATTTTGCTACTGTGAAGAATCAGAGCTAGGATTGAAAACCAGTTTGAAGTAAACTGGACATGAAAGTTTGTCAACTTTCTCATATATTGATTTATTTATTTTCAAGAGGCCACATGAGAAATAAAATGTCCTTAATCTTGTTTTCTTTGTCAACTTTAGAGGCTAGTGCTTGTGTAACATTTCCCTCCCCAAACCAAGGCAGCTTTGTGTTTATCATAGGAAACAAACAGAAAAGCCAACCAACCTAATAATTATTTTTTTGAAAATGCCCCAATGTCTACTTCCAAATGTATATATTCTTGCAGCTAACAATTTGTACAAGCAAACAAGTGCATACATGAATATCTAGTTACATATGTCAATACATATTTGCCTACATATAACTAATAATGTTTTAAAGCTCCCCAAAACATTATGTCACAATCTTGTTAGAGGCAAAAGAGATAAAACTAAATAATATTATTAAAACCACCAAATTAATCTTATAAAACTAACACAGGTAATTAGGAAAATATACAAATGTTCATCATTTTAAAAGTGAATATGTAATCTGCTAGACCCGATGTGTCTCCTGGTGTACTGTAATTTGAACTACAAAGCCACCTTCTCAGGTATTCTTGCTAAAAAAGAAGAAAGAAGTTAGCAAAGGAAATTAAAAAAGGAAAAAGAAAAAAGCTGAATTTAATTATGCCCTTATCTCTAACTTCCAGTCTCTAGAAAATATGCAGACGGAGGACTATTTCAAATGACTCCACAAGGAAGTCATTAACCAATTTCAGAATGTAGGGTATTCTGTATAACTGACCCTCTTTTGTCAAAAAGTCAATGGCATGAAACAAAAAGAGGCTGGGTAATGTTCTAGATTGCAAGAGACATAAGAGAAATAATGATGAAATATAAGAAAGATTTGTTGGATCCTGATTTGGATATGTCAATTTGAAAAACACATCTTTTTTTTTTAAGTCAGTGGCAAATATCTGAATATAAAAATGGTTATAAATGAATTATTGTTAATATTTTGGAGAATGAGTGTATTTACGCAAGTTAACGATTTTTAAAAGGTAAATACTGAAGCATTTAGGGTGAAATGATATGACATCTGGGATCTACTTCATATTGCCTGAGCCAAAGATTTTAAAAGAGGGGATAGATGAAGTGTGGCAAAATGTTGATGGATGTTGAAGCTGAATGATGGGTTAATGAGGGCCCATTCTAATCTCGATTTTTGCGTATGTTTAGAAAATTTCATGATAAAGAGGGGAAATAAGGGGAAAAATCAATGGCAAATCACACATCCTAAATAGACTTCATGAATATTGGAGAATGAATTTCCATTTTTCATGCCTTACCAGTCAGAAACCTTTCAGACTCTCTTAATGAACTGCAGGCCATTTGTAAAATCACCTCAGTTTGACTTTTAGTTGGGAAGCCAGAATCACAAGATCATAGAGATAGGAGAGAAAGAGACCTGCCGCACCTTGTCATGCTGTTGATCTGCCAGCAAGCCAGTTCAGCAGCCACCAGGCTGATCCTATTTTACTGCCTAAAGCAACTGACTGCTTGTGTGTAAGTATGATACTCTTAAAAGGTACGTGTGTGGAAGATAACACATTTGGAAGGATACAGAAAAAGTAAGCACAAACAAAATAAAGGAGCATGCAGTAAATGTGGACACATACCATACTCCAGCTGTAGCCTCCCACAAGGTAAATGCTGTCATCAAGCACTGCACAGCCAGGGCCGCTTCGACCCTCCAAAATGGGAGTTTGCAGTATATTCCACTGGTCACCTTTCGGGTCATAGCATTCCACAAGCATTACATCAAGGTGGGAGAAACCTAAGTGACAGAACAAAGTGGAACAACAAAATAATAAATGCTCAGGGTCCCAATTCAATGCTAGGCCTTCTTTTAAAAACAGGTCTCAAGCCAAAATAGATAATTATGGTTTTGAAGATACAAAAGCATAAATTCACTGAGATTGGGAGAAATGTCAGAAAGACCTAAAAAACCCCAAAGAAACTCTAGTTGTTTTAGATTACTTCAAAGCAAGAATACCTGAGCAGATGTCATTAGTAAAGGTTGATTATATGTGGATAGATCTTATTAATATGGTTTATTAAATCCTTATTAATAAAGGTTTAAAATAATAGTTTAAGCAAGCATTTTACAGGGCACTTACAATATGCTAGTTTTCTTTTCTAAGGACTTTATTTAAATGAACTCATTTAATCCCTTCCATCATTCTATGAGATAGTCCCTGTCCTTACTTTCATTTTATAGATAAGGGAACTTGGGGACAGAGAAAGTCAATTACTTGAGTTAAGTCACAAGTCAGTAAGTAGACAGGTTGAGATTTGAATCCAGGAGAGGCTTCAGAACTCAGACTCTTGCATACTAAATTGTATTGCTTTTTCTCAAATGAATATTTAACTCTCTCAGAATGTTTTGATAAATTAAAAATATGTTGTTCAGCATCTTTTACCTTTTTCACAATTTGACTATGTTTATAAACAACTCCGATGATGTAAATGGTTTCTAATATTTACCAAGAACCAAGGTTTAGAGTAGGAGGCTGAGTACCTTTCACTGAAGAGCTTCTCCTACCGCTTCTGATAGGGTTCCCAGTGTCTGGGGCAGTACCTAGGTCACTGAGAACAACTTAAGTCCCTGGACTCTATGGGAGCCCTGCCTTTAATTTAAAGGGTGAGAAATACCTAGTGGGAGCTTCATACTCACCAAGCAGATCAAACCCTTAATGTTTTTATTTATTTTATTTTTTCCTGTAGTTAAATGCAGGCTATGGATATTTGCTAGCTGACAATCACAGTGTGTATTTTAAAGTAACCAACATACCGGATTCTTTAAAATAATTGAGAAGATGAATCAAAAAGTGGAGAAATTTTGGTCTCGAAGAGGTAGACAGGTTATTTCGGTTACTAACTTCCTACAGAAAATAAATCACATGGATGGTGGAACAACAGAACAATGTACTCACTGCAACTCCAGAGTATATTCCTTTCCTTTACCATTAAGATTATTGATGATGATTTTTGAAACATATACACTTAGAATGGGCACTTGGGCAAATTCCAGGTTCTGACTTTAGAGGCATCATTTGAAGATCTATATGCCTTCTCTGTACCAATGTTATACATGGGGACTGCAATCCTCATAGAAACCACAAAGGCAAGATTAATTATCCCTCCTTTACAGACATGAGGTTAAGCGTCTTGAGTGAGACCACACAGCTAGAATGTGCATAACTAGAATCAAACCCAGGCTTAGATGCAATGTCTATATCCTATGCTCACCATGATGCCTCCTTGAGCTAACCCAGTTTTGATGTGTGTACACTATTTCTCATTTAGATTGTCATTACCTGAGTCTTTCTGTTCAAACCCAACCTTAAATGTTAGAAGATCCTAGAGCATTTAGACAATATCTTGTGCAGAAGAAATGAAAAGAAATCACATTTTAACATAAAAGGATACAAAGTTAATATAAAACATGTCGACATAAAGGAATGGGTGTGTGACTTGAAATGAAAGAGCACCATCGAAAGAGATAAAGAATAAAAAGGGAAGAATCACAGTAGTAAATAAAATCTTTTCCCACTGGAGAGAGCACTTAAGCTGAGCAGCAGACATGCACTAGGCTATTGGCATTTCTGAACATGAACTTGACTGAATGAACACGAACTTGGAAGTATCTACGTAAAAATTACACGTGTTCAGACTTTATTACATTTACAGGTAAACATGTATTAGGAAAATAGAAAAAACATCTAGGTCTAAACCATCTAAAAAGATGTATATACTATTAAAAAATAAATGCACACATGTGTGTTATCTACCATCCTTAGATAGCCTGTTTCCCATTTAGCTCAATTTCAGGGATCATAGACTAACAGAGCTGAAGGAGATTTTAGAGATCATAGAGCAGTTTCTTCATCTCCAGATGAGGAAACTAAGGCCCAAAGCAGTTCAATAATGTTCTCGATATCATCGGTCTGTTTTCCTGTCACATTCAGTGTTACATGCATGCACATAATGTTATATATGTACACATATACTACAAAAAGTTGCAGTCACATACATATCTGGGGCAGGAAAGGTGCCAAAACATATCTCTGAAAATGCTATGCCTTAAGATTTTTATTGAAAAAAGCAACAGAATTTGATAATCATAAGTGGTTTGCTGTTCAATTCTTAAAAAATTCTAAATTTAGACACAAAAATCTGATAAATATTACCTTTTAAAAAATCACGTTAGCTTTGTGCACTTATGACTAAAGCTCTTTATGATTATTGCAAAAAACAATTTTCTGGAAAAAATTCATTACTACCACTTTGGTGATAAGAAATAATGTATTTCAGTGAATTCATTGTTACAACAAATTGTTTGTGCTCTTCAGTTATTAATGCTCCTGTTTCTTATTTTCTGTAGACGTCATTATTCATTTCTTTTATGTGTATGGTAACTAAAAAATAATCCTATCTGCAGAAAAGCCAAAATAAATGCTTGCTCAAGGGTACTGCCAATTTACACAGAGTACATTTTATTAGATCAACATGTTTTTTACTTGGTTAACTATCATTATCTAAGGAGAAACCCCCTTAGCAAGAAATATGAGATGCAAATGTTATTGTGACTAAAAAACAAAACAACAAAAAAAAGACCTTTCAAATGATTTCCTCCAATTGCATACAAGCGATCATTCATTACAGCCAAAGTGTGAATTGCGCGTTTTGTGTTCATATCTTGTTTTCGAGCCCAGACATCCATTACTGGGTCATAGCAATATAGCCATGGGACATATTCTCCATTGTGTACACCCCCTGTGAAATAAACATAGACGTACAAGTCAAGAGAGTGCTTTGGAACTGAACTTTGTAACAAAAAGTGGAGGAATTACTCACCTGAAATGTATATTTTCCCATTGTGCACTGCTCCCGCATGAGCCGCCAGAGGCTGTGGCAAAGAGGACACATAGCGCCATTCATTTGTTTCTAGGTTATAGCACTCCACGCTGGACAAGTAGCCAGTTTCATTCCTTCCGCCAATAACGTATAAATGTTTGTCCAACCGACATGCATAGAAACTGGCTCTTCTACAATGAAAACAACCCACAGTAAATCACAAGAGGAGCTGTGAAATGTTACCTTTTGAAATAAGGTAAGCACCACCCAGGTAGTCAGGAAAAGGGGTGCATTCTGCTTCAGAAAGGGTTGCAAATCTTTAAAAATTACACATATACCTTGTAAGTCTGAGACCTTCTACAGTAATCATATGTATTGCCCTTTCTGGTTAATATTCTTGATATTAAAGTAATAGTAGGGGAGAAATTCACCAACTCTTTGTTTCAGCCCTTTTTATCTTGCTTTTTGTACACTGTTAAGTGTTCATTAATATTTGGGATATTCGGTACCTTGTGAGGATATCGTAGCTCTGTAAGACAAAGTGAAAAATGAAGTAGATAATGTAACAATAATAAATTATCTTGACATTCACTTTCTTTATGGTCCTTCAAGGGTCATTGTTCCCAATTTATAAGAGAACTACATCATCAAAATTTTTCTTCAATTATCACTTTTTTTTACCCTTAGTACTACTACAAATAGAATAACTTTTGTGAACTTCATATAAAGTTCAAATTTTGCACTTATATAACCAGTTACAGGAATTTCATCTAAGTAGTTTTTTGTGTTGATTCTTAAAAGGCTATAAGATATTTTAAGTCCCTTTTTAAGAGAGGCTATTGACTATATTATCCCATTATGCCATCAGAGCAAAAGATACAAGCTGTGTTGGAAGGGCTGTAGACAGAACAATCCTAAGATATGCCATCATTTAGGAGTGAGATTTGAAGATACTGAGGACCTGAATTAGAGCTGTAGTAGAAGAAATGGAAAGGGGTGATGCAAAAGATATTTTAAAGTTAGAAAATGTAAAACTTGGCAAGTAATAAAATATGGGAGCTCAGGGAGAATAACGTTCAAATAGCAGCCAAAAATTGGGAGTTAAGATGACTAGTTTGAAACTTTAAGCAAGCTTTTGACCGTTTGCTTCTTTTTTTCATTGATACTACTGGAATAATATACTTCACAAGGAACACATGTGATCCAGTATTGAATAAGTATAAACTGTTAAGTGCCATGTCCCTCAGATAATGTAGTTTATATTTAATGAATTAATGATCTCTATTAAAATTGATGCCAAGATTCTTGTGCAATGTCGATTGCAAGACAAGGAGTGCTACAGGTTTTTATCAAGTAAACATGTTGCTTCGAGATTTTCCAGGTTGTGTTTAGGAAGTACCAAAACATTTAGGAGGCAGTGTGTAGCATGGTGATTAACGATTTGGCTTCTTGAGTAAGACTGCCTGGCTAGATGACGTATTAGGTGTGTGGCCTTTGACATGTCACCCAACCCCTCTCAGCCTCAGGTTCTCATCTGGAACATGGGGACGATAATGGTCTCTTTCTCACAGGGCTATTGGCAAATACATATAAGTGCTTGTCATAGTGTCCAGCATTTTGTTCATGTTCAGGAACTGTCAGTTAATATTACCCGGATAAAAGGTTTTTAAAAATTGACCATCAAGATGTTTGCATGTAAACGTTTCCGAATAATGTTTAAGTGACAACTAAATTCTTTAATATTCGTTTAGATGATTTGTTACCATACAGGCATAATGTTTGTTATGGATGGTAATGTATTCATTTTTTAATAGTCCTGAAATTATCCTAATAGACATCATTGATAATTTTAGAGCAGTATTTTAGCTATGTTTGTTTTTTTTCTAGATTTTCTTGATATATTTGAAGGAAATATGTGCCTTGGATAATTCAGAAAGATGATGAAGAACAACAATAATGAAAACAGGGGTAGGAAGAAAAGTAGGAATAAAATAAAGAGAAGATGAGTCAGATTTCATAAAGGAAAGACTTAACTGGGTCCATGTCTTCTGTGGGGTTCGTGAGGCTCTGAAATTGTAATAAAATGCTGTAGATAGATGTTTTTGCACATGTGCATTTTTTGGAGGAAGCTTTTTTTTTTTTTGAGACAGAGTCTAGCTTTGTAGCCCAGGCTGGAGTGCAGTGGCATGATCTCGGCTCACTGCAAGCTCCGCCTCCCGGGTTCACGCCATTCTCCTGCCTCAGCCTCCCGAGTAACTGGAACTACAGGCGCCCGCCACTGCGCCCGGCTAATTTTTTGTATTTTTAGTAGAGATGGGGTTTCACCGTGTTAGCCAGGATGGTCTCAATCTCCTGACCTTGTGATCAGCCCGCCTTGGCCTCCCAAAGTGCTGGGATTACAGGCGTGAGCCACCGCACCTGGCCAGAGGCAGCTTTTAAATGTGATCATCAAAGGGATTTCTGATCTTAAAAAAATTGAGATTTTTCTGGTATGAGGGACTAAAAACTCATCTAAATATAAAATAAGATTTCAAAGCAGTTGCAAAATTAAGTGCCTACAGATAAACTACTGATTCCTTCTATTTCCTCAACCAGACTTCAGTTACTTTCTCACTGAATATGATAGGTCAAAGTTTTTCTACTAGTACGTTTACCTTTTCAAGTTTAAGTGTTTTATTGAAAAGACTGACACATGTCTACAAGAATCCGTCCTAAAGTAACACATATTTTTTTTTCCACCATTGACACTAAGGTAGTTCGGTATACTTCTTCCATGTGATTCTACAGTAGGTCTAGGGGCCTCTGAAGCAGTACATTTTCTTTTTCACTAATGGGCCATCTTTAAAGAATTGGGACTATGTGGGTTGTAAGCTGGTCATGGTGAGTTCTGTGCAGCATTAGTTTAGAAGAAAAGATGCCAATTAGTATGAAAACCTTCTATTTAACTGAGTTTAGATGTTGGAGAATAAGAGGAAGATCTCCCTTTGGTGAACTCATTTTCTTGTCTAAAATTCAGTTTTTTCACTTTTTATGACCTGGTTCCTTCCTCACCGTGACACCTGGTCAGCCTGTCAGAACCTGCTCTATTTTCTAGCCAAGGCGTTCTTCATGTGACACTCCGTGTGTACTCCTAGCTTTATCCACACAGTGTCACTGTTAGGATCTAAATGGGAAAAAATCAGCAGATTTCACTTCCTGATGAAAAGTGCATTTTTAGGTAGAAATTCCAACAGTAAAGATTCTGAATCTTTGACTTATTCCCTTGCGTGCCCAAAGCGAGAGTTCCTGAAATGCATTTTAGAAACCTGATTGTTAATGGTCTGCCAGCAACTGTGGACATTCGCTCTAGGCTAAAATCTTACCATATCAGGTCTCTCTTAACAATGCTTCCTGCCCCTCTTCGCCACATGAAGAACATACAAGGCTTAGGCTATCTTATTTTGAGAGGAAAGTAAGTTCAAGATTGTTAAAGATTTTTTAGTGGGATTACACTGTTTCTATTTCAAATTGTTCATCTCTCCCTCCTTCAGCCTCCCCTGCCCCCACTGCCAGAAGCAATATTCAGTATTTGTGAGATAAGTTTTAAAAAGATTAATAATAATGCATACAAATATACTTTAAACCCGGCTTATTTTACAGATCTTTACAAGTTCTTTCTGGCCCTTAGAGTTGTCAGTTTATATCCTAAAGCATGAGATTGGATTACTATATCCTTACCCAGCTTGAAGTTTTGACTTTTGTCATTGGATTAAAAACAATGGATATGTTAAAAAGAATATTGTCTCCCATCGTTTCTTGTAACACAAAATATTACTAGAAACAAAATATTTAAACATTGACACATTTTTTTGACATATGAAATTCTTGTCTTTTATTTACTCTGTGAAATACAGGCTTTGTTCTTAACGCTTCCCAAACTGCTTTCCTTCTATTTTTTTTTAGATTAGCTAGGGGGTAAGATCTCCATAAGAATAATACTTCAAACGTCAAGTTTTACTGAAAAAAAAAATTTAAGTTACCAAAGCATTTCTACTGATCCAAGTTTTTAATTTTTCCTCTCCTTACTGAAGAATTAAATTCTAAATCTGAGAGCAAAACAATTCATTGGCACTATATTTAAATTTATATTTTCATCTATTCATTTCTGACAGTAAATTCATAGCCAGCAGGTATGCAATTCATGAGCCGACTCATGGTTGAGTGAGTCTGAAGGCCATGGGCCCATTTCCCTGCTAAACTGGGAAGGCGTTCTGCACTTTTTCTCTATTCTTTTGGAAGGGTTGGCTAGGTAGGGTATCCTGGGACTCAATCTGTCAGCACTGAGTGGGAAAAGGCAGTTCTCACAAATGCCCCGTCAATCTTGCATCTCCATCTCTCCTGTGGGCTGGTTGACCCAGGCAACAATCTATAACTTAAAATGAAATTTTTCTGTCGTTACCAAGCTTCCATTCAAAATAGCAAGCACAGCTCTGTAAGGGTAGGTTACCCCGGAGGTGGCTTACAATGTGTTTTCAGTATTCTCAATTGGTTTGGTGATTTCTCAGCATAATAATTTTTCAGCAGTTTGGTAGCAGCATAAGGGAAGGGGGTAGGCAGGAACTTCCGGTTTCATTCATGATCTACACAATATAAAATTAACTAAATGTTTTAAGCAACTTTTCTGATCTGAAGAGTGTCTCATATATTTCTAGATTCTTTTTCCTCTTTTTTTAAAAACCACCAATTAATCTACACTAGTAACTGATTGTACTTGCTATTTTGAATGGAAACTTGGCAACGACAGAAAAATTTCATCTTAAGTTATGGATTGTTGCCTGGGTCAACCAGCCCATAGGAGAGATGGAGCTGCAAGATTGACGGGGCATTTGTGAGATCTGCCTTTTCCCACTCAGTGCTGTAAGGAGCTCTTTATTTGGTCTATCGAGTTGATTGTTCTAAATCTAAAAAAAAAACTTCTTTTACTAGGGACGTGACATGATATACCATAATGACTTAGAAAGAAACGTTGAACAGTCCATCCTGTCAACGGTGGCTGCCGGGCGCCGACAGACCATGGCAGGTCTTTTTATCAGGTCAATGAGCTGCTAAAAATTGTCTAAGTAGGACCCTGCCATCATAGGCCATAGTGCCTCAGAGGAAGTCATTACAGACTATCAAGTAAACAATACACATTTTCAAAAAAATTACTAATTAGGTTTTGCAGCAATACTTCCCATCCTTAGGGGCTCTACAGTGGGATAATTGACCACGACGTGAGTTATGCCTCCCAAGCCGAAGGCATGAAGGTTAATTATCATGGTGTACAGCCCCCAGCAAAGGGGTCCGTGGTGATGAGATGATGACATTTCAAACATGTATTGATAGTTGTGTTTTAAGTAAAACTTTTTGGAATAGTTTTGATTAAAGGGCAAAGTGATGCAGCTGTAATAACAGCAACCAGGAAATAACCTCCAAAAGAGAGAAACAGGGTGTACTGCAGAAAGATACCAGGAAGCTTCAGATTCATTAAGTTGGTCAAACTATTAATTGACTTAGAATTATTTCCTCAGGTACCTATGAACTAGACATTCCTAAAAGTGTCTGTGGTCCTTAACGTATCATGCCTCATCATTTTCACTGTATAGCCTTTAGTCTTCTAAGGGAGTTTTAATATATTTACCTGTATATAGAGTAGAAAGTTAGGGGTCTTGAGTTTCATTAGAGCATGGATTCATGCTGTCTTGCTGCAATAAGTACATTTTTCAATAAATGGTATTGTATGAAAATTTCTTTTAGCTTGGAATTTAGGATTAAGAATCCAATTTAATCTCAGGGTAATCTACTTGAATGTTATAAAAAGAGAGATATTCAGGTGAGAGATCATGTAAGAAATAGAAAAGAGAAAGAATGCTGATGATTCCTTTTTTTTTGAGATGGAGTCTCACTCTGTTGCCCGGGCTGGAGTGTAGTGGCGCGATCTCGGCTCACTGCAACCTCCGCCTTCCGGGTTTAAGCGATTCTCCTGCCTCAGTCTCCCAAGTAGCTGGGATTACAGGCGCCTGCCATCGCGCCCGCCTATTTTTTTTTTTTTTTTTTGGTATTTTTTAGTAGAGACAGGGTTTCACCGTGTTGGCCAGGTTGGTCATGAACTCCTGACTTCATGATCCACCCGCCTTGGCCTCCCAAAGTGCATGCTGAAGAGGCAATAGGATGCAGCTTACTGTCTATCACACTGGAGAATTTGCTCAAGAGGATGTCTAGATATTATTTGAAAAGAACCAAGTGCTCAAAATCTAGGCTGTGAATTTGCATATGCAGATAAAGACATGGTGTCATGCCTGAGGAACAGCTAGGAGAGACAAACTATGTGTAAATATAGTAGCCATCTTGTCCTTTGGTAGCCAGGAGACTTGGCTGAGATAACTAACTACTCGGTATGCAAAAAATGAGATGACACGTTGGAAGACTAATTTTGTTTTAAACCTAACGAATGACTTGTTCTTGAATGTATGGATTCAAAGACATTAGGGGAGGTAAATGCAAACAAGACAAAATTTACTATTGAAATGTTAAATTTCAATATTTCATATCTAATTATCTAAACGTCTAATATTTAAATATTGAATTTTAATATTGAATATTGAATTTAATATTAAATAATTTAATATTGAGTATTGAAATGTCTGTACCAAAATGCACATCATTGCAAGTATAGTGTTTTATATTTCAATTTTAGGGTTTAAATATATTATCACCAAAAAGAGTGATATAGCCAGAGAAATTTTAGCTCTGTTTGCAAAATACCAGTCAATATAATCAAGAAAGACAAGTCATACATTTTTTTTTCTTCCTACATTAGGACAAATAACTGACTTATTTTTCTCTATTGAATTAACAAGGAAGGTCATGTAAATTGGCTAGGCCAAGTTTTGTATTTTGCCTCATACGTCTTTCATTGACTCTGTTTAGCATTCCTTCTCATGAAAAATCACCTAGCACCCATGCCCCCTGTAAAGTCGTCACAAACACTTCAGGTGCAAGAAATAAACACTTACCTTTCTTGCATGGGTGGAAGTTGAATCCAGCTGTTAAATCGAGGATCATAACGGCTGACAAAATTTGTACTGTGTTTGCCTGTAAAAATGTATTTGAGACATTTAAAACTGAGATTCTTTTGCTGATTTGCACATGTAGTAGTATTTTATAAGATGTCTCTGTTCTCAGGTTTAACAAATAGATGAATTAAGTAGAGGGAATGCCTACCACAGCACAGGCGACGAGTCAATGGAAAAATAAATGTGCCGCCTCAAGTGTTTTTCCTCTTTCCTTCTCTTTCCTTTTTCTGTTTTTGCAATGAGTTAGGATAAAACTAAATCAACCACAAGAATGAAAGCAACTATATTTACCAAACTGGCTTTTATTACAGTGTTAGGATAAAAATATCTGGGGTGTTATTGGTGTTTTAATGCTTTAAACATAGTAAGTTAAAATCTGTAAATTATCAGTTCCACTCACATGTGCACGGCCTCTCTATCAGGGGGATTTTCTCTGTTCAATAATACAGCCACTACAAAAAGAGCCTGATTGGGAAAGTTAGTTTTGTTCTACACATACCATGTAAGTTCTGTGTGTGTATTTGGGGGAAGCACAGTTGCTGTGACATATACACAGGTGTATGTGCTGAAATGGGAAACATGAGTCCTCTGAGCTGCTTAACTAGCTTGTCCCCTCTGTTGAGCCTGAGAAGCATGGTAATGCCTCCAAAGTATTAAAATGAATCTTATTTTATATATAAGACAAGAAATGGAAGCAAAATAATATATTACATTCTCTGTGTAGCACCTGAGATGATAATCATCTAGAGAACTTGAAGCCTTAACTCTAAGTCTGCCTTTATTTATATATGTGTAACTATACATATAACATTGAGAGATGGGTACCAAACTTCACTGCAGGACTGAACAGATAGGGGTGTGTGAGTATGTGTGCATATACTCACACAGAAATGTCCACCCAATACAATTATTACCTTGATATATACAAATATATATCAAACACCTAGCACCTACTGTGTGTTTTATGTGTTCTAGACTCTAGAAATACTTTGGTATGCAAGATAGACATAGTCCGTATCCTTATAAATGAATAAACAAACGTATAATATCAAGTAGTGATGCATGCTATTAAAAAGTGAAGCCAGGAATGATAAAGGGAGGCCAGCTTAAGTAGGAGAGTCACCTGCTCACAGACGTCTTTTGCAAGTCATGCAGATATCTACAGAATGAGCCTCTCAGGCAAAGGGGCGGGAAAGAATTAAGTCTCTGGGCTGGCAGTAAGTTCAAAAACAGCAAGAATGCTGGGGTGACTGGACAGAGGTCAGAAAGGGGTCAAGGGCCAGAACATAGTGTGCCTTGTGGGCTGATGCAGGATTGTATAGTTTGTTATAAGGACAATAGCAAGTCACTGGAGAGTGTTGAGCAAGTGAAAAACAGTCTAATCTATCACGCTGGCTGCTGTGTAAAGAGTAGACTATAGGGGGCCGCTGTGGAAGAGGGGAACTGTCAGGAGACCACTGCAATCATCAAGGTAAGAGCTGTGGTGGCTTGAATGAAGGTGGAGGTGGTGAGAAATGGTTGAATTTTAAATCTGTTGTGCAGGCATAGCCAAATAAAATTTCCTGCGGTATGAGAAACATCGGTATGAGAAAAAGGGAGTCATTCAGGATGACTGTTAGGTTTTTAGCCTGAATAATTGAATGGAAGGTTATGCAATTTGCTGAGGTGGGGAACACCAAGGAGGAGTAGCTCGGGAGTTGGGAAGAGAAGTTATGAGCTCTGTTTTGGAATTAACCTTGGGAGACCTATAGGATCTCAAACAGGAAGTGTCTAGTAGGCCACTGGCTAAATGCGGCTATGGGTGCAAATTTTGGAGTCATTAGTCCAGAGTTATTTAAAACCATAGGGTTGAGTGAAACCATTTATGGAGAGTATATGAAAATGAAAGACAATGGGTCCTCAGTGTGAGCCCTGGAATAGAAGAAGCAAAACCGACAAAGGAAAAGAATGCTCAGAAATAGGGAGAAAGGTGTGGTATTTTGAAAGCAAATAGTGTTTCAAAGGAAGGGAGGTGAGCAGCTGAGAGGTGACTATGGGATTTGGCAGCGTGAAGGTTGCTTGTGGCCTCGACAGGCATTGCTTCAGTGGACCAGAGGGGATGAAAGCCTGAGTGCAGACTACTCAGGAAAGACTAAGATGTAAGAAAGTGGAGGTAAGAGGATAGGCACCGCTTCTTAGGACTTTTGCAATAGAAAGAAGGTTGTAACTGGAGGATGCAGCCTTGAAGGAAGGTTTGTTTGGTTGTTTTTAAAGTTCGGTCACACTGGAAAGTCCTGAGCAGGCAAGAAGGAATGAGGAATAGACTTTAGGATTGGGGCAGAAACAATAATAGGGGGAAAACAGAATATATAAGTTGCAATGGAAATAAGTGAATAGATTGGAGGTAGCAAAATGAAGAGTTTATCTTCTGAGTGCTTCTATTGAATTAAAAAGTAAGGCCATCAACTGAGAGTGAGGATGGTGACTTTGAAGAAGGAGGCATTTGAAAAGACTGAGGAATGAAATAGTTACCTTGGAGGGTAGAAAGGTGCATTGACCACAGAAATTTAGTGGAGCTGAGTAGTTGCCAGTTTGGCTGTGTGGTTTTCTCTATCCACATTTAGTTGCTCAGGGGCAGGGGAGAGAGGGAAGAGGGTTAGGTTTAACCAGGACTAGTATTGCCAGGCAAATACAGAGGAAGGAGAGAGAGAACAAAAGGCAGGTGTATGAGGAGTGTTTATAGGGATGGGCCATAGAAGCTAAGCTCAGTAAAATGGGAAGTAAGGTCACGAGGGGATGATGGTCAGTGAAAAGGTGGCATTACCGGCAAAACAGTGGATTACTGCCACATAAAGAGACAGCAAATGGTATCATCTGCAGATATCCTTTAAAGTGCTTGGGGTTTTAAGGGATTGAGAATGGCAATAAAGAGAAAACAGAGAAGCTGCTTGCCTCTAATAATATAACGTGTGTGGGGGAAGTAGATATACACTGGCTCCCATTAGAAAGAGTGGGCAGGAAAGCAGTACTCTCAGACGATAGCCAGGTTTTGGCCGGGCGCAGTGGCTCATGCCTGTGATCCCAGCACTTTAGGAGGGCGAGGCGGGCAGACCTTTGAAGTCAGGAGTTCGAGACCAGCTTGGCCAGCATGGTGAAACCCCGTCTCTACTAAAAATACAAAAATTAGCCGGGCATTGTGGCGGGCTCCTGTAATCCCAGCTACTTTGGAGGCTGAGGCAGGAGAAGCACTTGAACCCAGAAGTTGGAGGTTGCAGTGAGCCAAGATCACACCACTGCACTCCAGCCTGGGTAACAGAGTGAGACTCCATAAAAACAAAACAAAACAAAAACAAAACAAAAGAAAACAGTGCTAGGTTTTGATTAGAAAAGAAGTTAAAGGAACCACTCAGAGGAGAATTTAAGGATTATAGATATTTTGCTGATGTGAGATCATGAGTTACAGGAATCATGTGGGAAAGTTTGGATGGTTAGGTTGAGTGGTAAATTGAGTTTTATTTGGGGACACACAGGAAGAAATAAGAGTACCAGGGGGAAAGAAAGACTCAGAAGATTTGTATTTCACATAAGGAGGCTCCAACTCAAGAAAGAATTATGTCTAGAGCTGGTTAATAAGTGAGTTTTTGTGAAATCTGCAATCATTTCCATGTAGAAAAAATATCATCATTCTTAGTCAAGTTCCAAGGTTAATTCCCAAATTCAGGTGAAGATTAATGATATTCATAAGAAAGTAGAACCTACCCACTATGTATAGGAATGTTTCTCTAGATATTTGGTTTAGAATTTCCATTTGGAAGATGATATCTGCCTCCTCCTGGCAATGGGGCCGAGAGTGCCTTCACGTGCTGAGCAGTGGTGGTAGAAACTAGCAGTGTTCACTTTGGGTTGTAATGGTAGTGGCCTTGATTCAGAGAAGAGGCTAAGCAGAAATTGGTGTAACATGGATGTGAGATGAGAAAATGGTTTCCAGAGGCAGGGTCAGTGATGCAAAAGAGTCTGGGTGTGGTGGCTCATGCCTGTGGTCCCAGCTACTCAGGAGGCTAAGGTGACAGGATTGCTCAAGGATGGGAGTTCAAGGCTGCAGTAAACTATGATTGCACCACTCCAGCCTGGATAACAGAGTGAGACCCTGTCCCCAGAACCCCCAAAGAAGACGCAAAAATAGGGCAAGAATGGAGGACCGGGAAGACGAAAAGAAGGAAGGCATTCTGGAGGTGGCAAAGGAGGTGCAGAGAGGATAATGAACCTCAGGAGAAATGAGTGTGGTAGAGTGAGGAAGGTGAGATGAAATGGGGTTATTCTCCTTCCTTGTGGCTACTATGGAGATGCTACCAGCAGCCTGAGAGTGGCGGCCATATGCTATGAAATTTTGGATTATCTTCACACATTCTGTTTTTTCTCATCCTTTTCATATTTTTTTCTCATTTTCCTCCACTTTTCTTTTTTGTGCTGGTGCCCTGTCACCAACATTGTTGCTTAGCACTGGGCTGATGTGATGAATGGGGTAAAGGGTGGTGGTTCCCAGCCAATGTAGAGGAGAAGGAGGTGGGAAGAAAAGAAGTTCCCTATGAGCAGTTGTTTTGGGAGCCAGTTATCAGGAAGTGACAAATGTAAACTGGGTTTCTATAAGCTGGGGCACTGACAGAGTCTATGCATATCTATTAGAAGAGGATCATGCATTCCTATCACTAATGACATGAAGAGAGTTGATAGGAGTTAATAATTATATCTGAGTAGAAAACCTTATGTGTATATTTTGATTATATTTCCCATAACTAATATATTTGCTGACTTCAAGTTGTGGTCATCAATAGATCATCAATAGATATAATTATATTTATTTCAATGAGTATATGTTTGTGTTTTATGAGCATGTATTGAAATTCGCAATTTTGTACTTCAAGGGCACACATCTCAGATACCATTGTCATAAGAACTAATGTTTCACTTAAGAAGATTTCATCTTTGGGACTGACATACATAACATCTGAACCCACGGATTTAAAAGCTTTCTTTGTGCCAGCAGTGATGTTAAAGCATGCTATATATTATCATAGAATTACTATCCTTTATATGTTTTGGTATTAATTGCATGAGGTATTATAATACAAGACGCTCTTATTTTAGAGATGGTTGAGTCTCTTCACAGTTTTTAAAATGAGGAATGATGAAGAGTTCCTTGTGAGTGAGTGGGAGCCACTTTCCATGTGATCCAATGTTGATTTAATTTCACAAGATCAAGATCAAAAGCAAAACATGACTGTTACACATCTAACCAAATACATATGGTTATGTGAAACACAGTATATTACAGTGGCTAAAGATGACGGCTCTGAAATCAGATAGACCTAGGATGAAATCAGCTCAGCTTCTTGTAAGCTATGTCTGCTGGCAAGTCATTTAACTTCTTCAGGCTTAGTCTTCTCATAGTAAAACTAGAGCTACCATGGAATGATTTGCAGGATGCTTGTGAGGACTAAGTGAAATGATGTAGGTGTGTGCTTAGCAAAGTTCCTGGCAATAAGGAGTACTCAATAAGTACTACTAATAATACTAATGAAGTTAACTATTGTTGACCAGATGGATGGAGTATGGAAATGATTCATGGGATTGTGGCGGATGCTCTTGGTCCTTAGCCCAGATTCCTTTACCAGACCGGTTCACCCATTCTCTGGCTGCTGAATGCTGGCTGCTCATGGTCACGGCAGCTCCTGCTGCTGAACAGGCCACCTCATTGCCTTCCCTCATGCCCCACCTGGGGGAAGGCTTTAGCCAATGACTGACATGAAGTGCATAAGACTGGCCTGCTTGCCGTAAGGCGTAACCAGTTCTCCTCTACTTAGGTGAGCCCAGCCCATGGCCCAGCCTCCTTTGCCCAAATCTATGCTAAATGACTTCACTTGCCAAATGAGTCAGGGACACAATGACTCAGCCTTTCATGTGGAAGCTTCCAAAATTCTAAAAAGGGATCTTAAACACACACACACACACACACACAGAGAGAGAGAGAGAGAGAGAGAGAGCACTCCCAGGCCTGTATTAAGGCTAAAGGTAAAATTAAAATATAGTAATTAAAGTTATACTAAAATTTAGTTCTGTGCATCCTAGTGGTTAAAGCAAAGAGAAGAGACACAATAGTCACATGGTTAGCATTAGTAATAATTTTCAAAAGCACACAATGCCTCAGTACTTTGGTCTAAAGAATTTATCCTCTGGGGCTTCACAGGGAGCCCATGAGTGGCAATGGTGAGAACCATCCCTATGGTAAATGCAGTTGTGTGCTGTTTCTAGTCATTTCTCATAGCATATTCACTGATGGCTTTAAACCCAACTGCTGTTCCTCTCAGGGCCGGGAAAGAGAAAATCAGTGTAATCCAACAGCATGATTTTATGGGAGTCTGAATTAGTTCAAAGATAAAATCTTGATTCTCTAGACTAGAGGAAGGAATATGTCCTTTCAACTCTCCCCTGTTCCCTCCACCCAGTTCTCTCAGATGTGTCTTTGATTGGAAATTGAACAGCAAGTAGCTACAGGTTTGTTTGTTTGTTTGTTTGTTTGTTTTCTTTGCATATGCCTGTGGAACAGGTTTTCTGTGTTGCTGCTTAAGGTCTGACTTAAGACCTTAAGTCAGGCAGATTCACAGTGTTTTGTGAGAATGAACTGTGGCACCAAGACTGCTATTTTAACAAAGGCCTGTTCTACCTGCGAAGCGCAGTAGGCTGAAGACGTTCCTGTTTTCTCTTGTCATGTTTTAGTTTTAACCTGGCCTTCAAAAAGAATGTTCTGCAGATTATTCGCTTAGGTAAACCCAGTGGCTGCACACTGTGTGTTTGCTTACAAATGCTCCTTACAGTTCGAATCACTTCTGAAGAAGGATAAGTTAAATAGTAAATGAGGAGTTTACAATGCATTGTGCGCATGTCAGGGTTTTCTGGTAACCTATCGAATCCATCATTACAAAGGTAAGTTAGGGGAGAGACAGGAAATATCATCCTTGCTCCTGTTCCAAATCTGTTTCTCACAGAGCCCAGGAACTATCTTCTTTCGAACATTAGAAAATGTGGCACAACAAAGCTGCAGGTCTTGAGAAAGAATGTCCCCCTCTCTTAAAAGAAATGTTCTTGGAGGGTGGCCTGGATTGTTTTCCTTGAAGATTTTCTAGAGTGAACAGCTGTAACAATTTTCTATAATTTGCCTTGGTGCAGATGCTGAAAGAGAGCGTTCACAATAAAATATATGCAGTATATGTAATTTCAGCTGGATGTTCTGGGGTTTTAAAGTAAAAATGTGTACCTGCAAGCTGTTTTATAGTTTCTCAGTCATAATTATCTCTGTTACACAGAAGGCTACAACTGCAACTCCTCCTTCATGTGCAAGCTTTCCAAAAATATCTTGATAATTTTGCATATTCTGCAAGCCACAGTGTTCTTCTTGTGTTCGATTTGGGAAGTGCGTTAAAATGTTTAATTTCTCTTTGCAATAAGTTTATGACGTAATCACATCAACGGGGAGGATGGTGGATAATCTATGGAAGAAGCGCTTGCAAAAGGTACAGCAACTGGAATGGATGTCGAGTAATACCTGCTGCAAAATAACTTCAGCTAAAGTTATGTGCAGCATGACTGGACATAATGCTTGTGTATTGCAACCCACATTATTCTATTGATAAAATGGGAGAAAGGTGTTGGAGAAGATGGTGAGGATTCTTAACAGCTGCAGCTTGCTCCCTTCCTCTAGGGAGTTTGTGCTCATGCTTGTAGCATTCCTCAGGGGATGGATAAGGAGAGGGGCTGGGGTATCACTGCGAAGCCAAATCCCCAGACAGTTGATGAGTGATCGCTCTGCTACACATGTCCCCAGTTAGCTCAATGATTGACCCTCTCTCCAATTGTCAGCCCCATTTCTTGACTACTTCATTTGTCCCCGTTGCACAGAAATGTATTTTCCACACTAATTACAAAATGGACTGCTACTGATGCCCTTCATTACACACATAGTTGCTGAGCACCTCCAATTAAGTTGTTCAATAGTTACCATTCGGATTCCACTGGTCCTCTCCACCCAACACGAACAAGAAGTTTTCCACCTCCACAACGCAGTGGTGGGCACTGTTGTATGGCATAACTGAAATTAAGGAAAAAAAAAAGACATATGAAATTTTCCATCTCAGGATTTGCTACCTTGGCTCACTGGCTATTTGTTTCACTGAAGTGCATAAAATGTGAGACTGACTCAGAGGAAGAAGAACGCACAGGTAGCCAAGCCGCTAGTCACCAATCCAGGGATCCCTATGCAGTGACTCAGCGGTGTGTTCCCAGTGGTTTCAAACCCAACCCCTTTTGACTAATTTTACATAATGTTATTCCAGAAATTAGTCAAGAACAACCTGTCATGCTGCTTTCAATTCCTAGGTTCTCCTAACCTGCCTGATGATGTGGATAGTGATCTGAACGACTGACACTCCTAAATGGTCAGGGCTGGGGTTACTTCTTGGAAGAAGTATCCCTGAATACACTTGGAGCCATTAAGATGCTCTGCCCAACTTGGTTTGCTGGCAGTCTTTCCATAAACAGACTCAGGGTGCTTGGTAGCTTTCTATTCCACAGCAATGAACAAGCTGAATTTCCATACAGTTTTAAGTTTTTAAATTAAGGTCCTGCTGATTTAATGCCTCCTCCAAATGTATACGCTTAATTTCCTGTACAATGTCATTAGCAGCACAATCACACATTTTCTATCTATCTGCTTAGGAGCTCTTCTGTAACAAAGATGAAAACTGTCAGGAATATCACAAATATCTATTCTCCTTGCCTCTCCCTTCTTTCTGCCCAAATGTGGTGGATGTGAGGAGGGGACATTATTCAGAAACCCACTAATGCCAGCTTTCTCTGTATTTGTTCTGATTTACATTTCCTTTAGGGAGACACAAAATACCAGAATAGGATGCTCCTGTCTCCTTTCGTGCTGTGCAGTGTTAGTCTCTGCTACAATAATATCCTATGGTAAATGTAAACGTATAGAGCATTAGTTATATCTCCTACAGTGGTTTGGGCCCAGTAGGAAAAATGATGTCCTTGTTCAGCTCATCATATGGGCACCTTAAATCTAGGTGAGGACAAATGGGGAGGTGATGTGCATGTTCAGGCAGGGAACTTATTCCTTGACACGGATCAACAGAGCACTTAAGAAACCAGTGCAGTGGGAAATCAATATGAGTCAGGGCCAACTCTTACTTTGTGCTCCTTTGCCAATGCAGAGAGAGAGAAAGTGAGGAGACCTATCTCACGCCTGACTTATTTTGGGTGCTATATAGCTCTCATTTCATTTTGTTTTTATTATCTTTTATTTTTCTCAGGAAGCATTTATGCTGGCTAAGATATGTAAATAAAAAATAAGAAACAGGCACAGGTTTGAGACTTACAACACAGCCTCTGAAAGAGCAAATCAGATCATTTAAGCTTCTTACCATGGGATTTTAGGAGTTTTGTTTTGTTTATTTACCTACTGACTTATTTATTTGTACTGTAAATATGCATTGTTTTTGAACTTATACCCACAAGGCAGAAGGCATTGGTAGGTAAACCTCCAATCTGGGGGATAATGTAGAAATTGGGTGGGCAGTGGTTTGTGTGGTCCACGAATCAGGTCAATTGACTTTGACAGTCATCTCAAGAATGTCCTTTAGCCCATCAATCCTCAGTTTCTCTCTTTGAAAAACACTTTTACCTGTGTAGATCCTGCAGCCTTCACTACTCAGAATTCATTGTGGCAGAGTATACGTGAGGCTCATTGAGCAACAGAGGTGGAATATGTTTGAAAGATTTTCTTCCCTTTAATTAGTTCATCATTGTTTGGAGCATAATTTTGGTTCCAAAATACCAAAAACAAAACGAAGCTTCCGTTATCATATTGTGAGCAACCTGGTGCCACTCCAGTTAACGGTAACATCCTCTGGCCAGTGGTAAACTTACTCAGCATTAATTGTCAGCTGTATGCATCAATTCACTTGAGATACAGAGCAGTCATAGAGGCCATCAGCTACAACGAACTTATTCTATGACCACAGCTCTTCAAATATTTCTTTTAAACTTTCAGTCAGTTCAACATTTTGCCCAGATCTTATAAATAATGAAAAATGGTATTATTATTTTTTAAACCAGAAGTCCAGCTTCATAATAAAGTACAGTCTCTGAAAATAAAATGACACTTGTGTTTTGTTCTTGCCATTCATTTGCTCTCATTCAGGCAAGCAGAAATTAAGTGAAGGAAACAATACATGATTTATTTTTAAGCCTCTTTTTCATTTGATTACCCCTATTGTTATGCTTTATGCAAACAAATGAAACTATTGCACTAAGCTAACTATTGAACTCTTCAAAATAAGAGAAAAGAAGGTCTTTGAAGTCCTAATTTAAAGGCTACTTGAAGGAATTCTCATCTATTTACACATTTTTACCCTTGTTTTAAAACTTGTCTGCTATATTTCTTGGCTGAGCATTTCAGTACTCTCATTCCTGAATTATTGTCTTTTCTGAATTATTAGTGTGGATTGAGAGGCTATAAATATACTCAAATGCTCATTGAAATTATTCTGAATATAAAACTCTCCCAAATTTATTTTAAAAAATCTATATTCAATCAATGTTTGAATTTTGCAAAAGACCTAATTTCTTTGACTTCTGATTAAGCCCAAAGAAAAGCAAAATAAATAGGGTAGTGAACAAGAGCAAACAATTGTTTAAAATGGCCTTGGGTACTGCACTTATTGATTTTCTTTTAAATAACCACAGATACATGCCTGCTCCTTTCCAGATTTCTCCAGAGGTGGGCAAGTGTCTCGCCCGCACAAGCAGGTAGTGGGGGAGGTTTGTACTCCAGGTTCACATACAGCCCAGTGTGAGTTTTTAGCGTGTCAGTCAGTGAGTTAGAGGGAAAGGGGAAAGAGAAGCTAATCAGGATGAAATGAGATTAAAGGCTGTCTAATTTTACAGCAACTGTGATCCATCAGCCACTGTGAAAGTGACAGTGGAAATGAATGATGGAGACAGACAGGTGGGGCTGTACATTTCACTGATTTATCCTCAAATGCACTGGGCCTTATTTTATTGAGTGAACATGACCGCATTTATCATGACTGTCATCTAAACCCACTTCCCTCCATTTAAAAAGGTCACTTTACTCGGAGTAGGAGAGAGGCACTTTCAAATCAGATTCAAAATCTAATAACACGTGTTTATAAGGCCCTTTGCGAGACTTCTCAACTTTATTAAACAAACAGGTAGTGCTAGGAGGAAAGAAAAAAAAAAAGCCAGAAAATTGGAGAAGAAAACACTTTTCATCACCTGAAGGGGCACTTCATTTCATCTCTAAATTTCAAGCAATTTGTACCATTTTTCCCTTCCACTCCAAGCACTCAAAATTCTATTCTAGTCTTGGGAAATTAAATAAAACATTTACATTTAATACTTTCAATTAAGAAAGTAGGAATCAGGTAATGCTATAAAATAAACTTGGAGAGGATATTGTCACAGTATTTACTCTGCAGAATGACTAATCATCACACAGGAAATAGATGTTAGCAATTGTAACATTCTGAATCTCTGCCACAGTTAACTTATGTACCTGTTAATTGTTTCCCCATAACTTTAAGGCCATAAAAATCTCATTTACACAGTCTTTTACCCCTCCCTGTACCAGAGCAATAAAATGTCCTGAGATCTTATGCACAAAATTGGTCTCTGTGGATGGGAAAATGGAGTCAGACTCTCTGGGAATTCTCTGTTACTTTTTGCAATAATAACCAGCACTGACCAAACATTTACTATGTGCCACATATATGTACATTAAATATATAATTATATTTATCTATATTATGACTTTGGAAATACAAAAACAGTTGCATTCTTGCTATTCATTTGTTCACACCTTGGCCAAGCAGAAATTAAGTGAAGGAAATAATACATGATAAAATATACCGATAGTATATTTACCTAAATTGGCTCACATCTTCCATTTAATACAACTAATTGTAAAGGAGGCATTACTCATTCATTTCATTTTTTTAGAAATACTAAAAGGCCTTGAGAGGGTAAGTCACTTGTTGAAGGTCAGACTCGGGTACCGAACGGCAGAGATAGAATCCAAACATGGGGATATCTGGACCCCGACTCACGCCCTTATCCATTTCACTCTACTGATTTTCAATAGGTATGTTCATCCATCCAGCAAGTAATTACTGAGTTCCTGAGTGTTCAGTGATGGTGTTTTTGAAATTTGTGTATAATTTTTTATATTGAATCGTATTTTAAACGTGTTTATTGCTATGATATTTGAATGAATCCTTAAAGCAAGAAGACATTCCTTTAAATGATTTCCTATAAATCTGGATATTCGAATAGCTGGTTTTCTTAAAGCAGAGTACATTTGTTTGATAGAGCCAGAAAAAACACTGAGAAAATCAGCCAGTTAAGGGTGGGTAGAGTCTGTTGGCAGATTTTTTTTTTTTTTAAGCAATGAGGACATATTTCAACCTTGAAATTTGAAATATCTTGGTTACAGAGGCTGTTTTCCTGGCCTATAAGATGTCCAGGGGTCTTGTTTGTATTCCTGAAGGCCTTATTGTACTAGAGATCCACACTACTGTGTCTCCTCTTCTCACATTTTACATCTAAGGAATGTAAACCTCTTCCAGCAGAAAGCATAGGTATCCTTTGCAACCCCCAGATTTTCATGAATATCCAAACAAGAGATTGCATAGGGCTGTGCCAAGAATATAGACTTGCTAAATAGATGGTTATTGAATGTTTATCAATTAGATGTAACATTTGTGAAGGCCTTGATATTTTTGGTCTCAAACACATAAGCTTGCAAAACTGTCAGATATAACAAAGTTCTCAGTTGTTTTGAAAAAATAATTAATGCCCATGGTAAAAATACAATCTTAAAAAAAAGGACATACAGAACAAATAAGTCTTCCTCTTACCCTCGGCCCGCCCTCAGCCTTTCAGTTCTCTACCACAGAGGCAATCTCTGTTACTATGTTCTTGGGTTTTCTTTCCAGAGACATTATATATCTGGGTCATTTTTGTTAACACAAATGGCAGCAGCATACTATAGACATACTG